ATATATATATAATATATATGGTGGCAACTGAACATTCTTTCCTTGTCGAAATCTCTGGTGTATTCAAAAGATCACAAGTGCTGTCTCCTGCATCGAATATTAGAAAAGCGCTTATCTGACTCAAGCGCCATTCGATAATGCCCAAAATTCTTCTAACTTGAATGAGCATTAGACAAAACGCTGCTATTAAAATTTGAGCACTCTAGCGAATCGGAAAATGGTAGAAATTTCGCTGAACGATAAACCAATTGAAGATAAAATGGCTATAGAAATTATAGTAGTCAAAAAACGTATGAAACTTATATCGTCATCCAGCACAGAGATTCATTCCAGTTTTAATAACTCTAACTAATGGCTTAACAATAAAATATTTTGATGCTAATATTTTGATTAATTCTGCTTGTAGTAGTTAGCAACTAATTGAAACTTGAATTTTTATCATACATGCAGCTGTAGAGCTTTGAGAACTCTAGCTCGTCGAAAGCGGAAAAAGTCGAAAAGTAAAATAGTCGAAATTTCGATTGCAAGAATAAACCTCCACAGACTCGAGAGTGGAAAAAGGAAACAAAATTACAACTTATAAATAAGATGGTAATTCAATATTTAGTATATTATATTTTATTTGTTTTTAAGGTGGACACCACATCAAGACGCACAAAGAAATGTTTTTGAGGCAGCTAATTTTTGTTCCCTGAATGGAAAAATGCATGGTACGGAAGTTAAACCATCTCTCCGAAATCTTCTTGAATTCATAAGAAGTGCTTAAAATTGGACAATTGAAAAAAGAGTTATTTCAAGAAGTAAACAAGAATCGAGAATACATTATGTTGGGTTTAGTCTCTGTAGAAACGATGAATTAATAATAAATAAAAAAAAATACACAACTCTTCTTTGTTGTTGAATTTTGAATTTTGTTTGTTATTACTTCATTAAAGGATGTCAGTTACTTTACTAACAATCATAACACAGCCTTGTATTTTTATATTTTCAACAGATAAATTTCAATTTCCGATAAAAAAAAATCTTTATAAAAAGGAAATTACTTGTTTACTTATTTATTAAAATACTTTCATAGTTATTGCTATTTATGTTTGTTATAATATGACTGATTTAAAAATAAATATTAATGGGAATTTTTTGTTGCATTATATATCATACTATAAAACATATTTTCCTGATTGTTAGCTTTCAGACTCTTAAAATTTCGTGAGATGTCTAATTGGTGAGATGTCTAATTGTTCATGATAATATTATATTAATGGCAAAATTTAAAATGACTAATGTAAAACAATAACGAAATAATAAATTATATGTAGGACCATAAAAAAATTATATGTAGACCCTTAGTAAGGATGCAATGTTTTCAAACGCTTCAGTCCTAAATAGTTAGAGCACTAATTTTCACTTAAAATCTTTGTATTTTAACAAGCTAAAATTCTTCTAATGTTTTAAAATAAACTTTAAATAGTTTCGAATTAATTTCCAAAAAAATTATTTTTTAAATAAGAAATTCAAGTAAAAACTTAAATTTTCATTTGAATTTTTGGTGATATGTATTTCATTTCAAACTTAGAAAATCTCTATACATATAATTGCTTTCCCTCGTCTTAGAAATAAACAAACTTATGATTAATTAAAAGAATATTTTTATTTCGAAATAGATATTTCGAACAAAAGCATATTTAAATTAGTTCAAAACATTTTAAAGCATATTTTAGATTTTGCAAAGTAAAAATTTCAAAAAGTTTCTGAGAGTAAAAAAAGAAACTTTCATAATTAACGAAGAAGCTTCCGAAGAAGTTTTGAAGAGAAGAAAGAATGATCAACTCAATTTTGACTTGTATGAAAATAAATTTCATCAATTCGGGGTAATGATCGTGTTAGGAAAATGATCATGTTGGCGATATGAGTTGTCGGCAAATTGATCATGTTGGCAATGTGAGCTGATGGCGATATTCAGATAAATAAAAAAAGATAAATTCTGCTGGAAAGATATGAAATTCTGTTCTATGCTGAACATTTATCAGTATTTAAGATATGATATCAGGGGCTTCTTATCAACAATCGCAATAGGCACAATTAATAGGAAATATAGACTATATAACTTATCAAATTTGATGTGTTATGTAAATCTGAAATAAATGAAGATAATATAGGGAACAACAATCGACTTTAATTTTTATTTTTTATTTTATAAAGAAAAACTACAAAAATGGAGGAGAAAAAAAAGAATGAAACTAACAAGACTTCAAAGTGTGAAAGATCAAGGTCGAAAAAAAAACCTGACTCTGATTACTAAGTTTTTATTTTTTATACTATGTTTATTGTTTCTCCACTTAAAAGAAGAAAAAATTGTTTTCTTTTAAGGATGTAAGAGCATAAATTTCTGCTTTAGTGACTTCGCAGTTTGTGCCTCTCTTGTTTTGGAAGGAACATCTTAATTAAAATGGCCAAGTAAGTCAATTACAGTACTTAACCTTGAATTTTATCTTATCTCTTTTTTGGCTTTTATTTTACAATTTCCGAGAGCACTTTTTTAAAATTTTTATAACATTTTCTAGCTTGAAATAATCAAGCGTTATTCTAGAACAGTGAAAAACTTGGGTTCCACTTCTTGCTAAAATTATATAATTCTAGATCAGTTGAGAGAGCTAGAGATATTCATTGTTTTAAACCATGGAAGTATAATTCTAGATTAGTTAAGACTTTAGACAGGTTCATAACGAATGATAGATTTCGGAGGGTGGACAAAATGGAAAATTACCCAACTCAAATTCGCTTTAAACACAACTTATGGTCGATTTGGAAAACCTCTGAGATTTTCAATTTTTTCATATTTATAATCAACAAGAATTTTCTTTTATAATTTCTTTAAAAGATATGTTACTATTTATAGTAAAATAAATCTGGTTTGAAACTTCTGAGTTTTCCCTTTGTATTAACTTAAAAACTTTGAACATTTCTGCTTAAGACTAATGCATAAGTAAGCAGTAAACTACGTAAAAATTTTGATATTTTTCATTAAAAAATTATTTATTTCTCACTAAATAAGAAATAAATGTGACTTGACGAATTAAAGTAAAATGGGGGGATGCTTTTTAAGTTATGGCGACGAAATCCGATCACTTAACAAAAATCAAATTCATAAAAACACAAAATCAAACTTATGTAGCAACTCTGCTTACACTTATCAAACCAATTAAAGGCAGAAACAAAAAAGTTATGACGCATAATTTTCCATGGTAAAAAAAAGTTGATCGCAGCATAGACCTAGGTAGCAGAAAAAATAATAGTAATAAAATATTTTCTTCAGTCGGTCAGCTAGCTATTTGAAAAAAAAATTTATCAGGATCAAAGTCACCGAAATAAATTTATCGATTTACTTAATAATAGATCGACTTTAATTTTTTAATGCAGCTTTGACAAAGATAAGCGAATTTTTTTTTTCCGTAGGTAAAACACTTTTTCAGTCGGTTCCTTAGCTAATTAAAAAAAAAAGAAATTTAGAAACAAAAGCAAAAAAAAATTATAAAAAAAATTAATAATAGGTTTATCTGCCGTTAAGCCGTCTAGAATACCACTGTATAACTCTGGAGGGGCTATTTTCTGACTGAAGGAAATATTTAAAATATTTTCTTCAGTCGGTCAGTCTATTTGAAAAAAAAAATTATCAGGATCAAGGTCACCGAAATAAATCTATCGATTTTCTTATTAATAGGCCGACTTTTGCTTTTTAATGCAATTTGAGAGAGAAAAGCGAGAAATTTTTTTTTTGTTCCTTAGGTAAGACATTTCTTCAGCAGGTCTCCCAGCTAATTTAAAAAAAAGAAATTCAAAAAGAAAAGCCAAAAGAAAAATAATAAAAAATAATAATAATAGGTTTATCTGCCGTAAGGTCGTCTAAAATACTTCTGTATAACTCTGGAGGGGCTATTTTCTGACTGAAGAAAATATTTAAAATATTTTCTTTAGTCGGTTATTTAGCTATTTGAAGGAAAAAAATTATCAGAATCAAAGTCACCGAAATAAACATATAGATTTACCTATTAATAGATCGATTTTTGTTTTTTAATGCAGCTTTGACAGTTTTTTTTCCGTAGGTAAAACATTTTTTCAAAATAAAAAAAAAATATTAGGTTAATCTACCGTTAGGCCGTCTAGAATATTCCTCTATAACTCTATAGGGGCTTCTGCCCCTTTAGTCCTCCGCTCGCTTCACCCTTGCTTTTAGAGCCATTCTTTGTTTAAAAAACAGTAGTATAATCCTGACCCAATAAGCAGAAATCGGTACCTAAGGGGAGTTAAAATGGTTGAAAGTGCAAATCAAGACTGAAAGTGACAGTTTTTTTCTGTAGGTAAAACATTTTTTCAGTCGGTTTCCTAGCCGATTAAAAAAAAAAAATTCAGAAACAAAAGCCAAAAAAAAAATTAAAAAAAAAAATTTATTAGGTTTATCTACCGTTAGGCCGTCTAGAATATTCCTCTATAACTCAGGAGGGGCTTCTGCCCCTTTTTGTCCTCCGCTCGCTTCACCCTTGCTTTTAGAGCCATTCCTTGTTTGAAAAACGGTAGTATAATCCTGAACCAATAAGCAGAAATCGGTACCTAAGGAGAGTTAAAGTAGTTGAAAGTGCAAATCAAGACTGAAAGTGCAGAGGCTGAAAGTGCAACTTTTTCAGGTATTCTACCTGAAAAAGTAGAGTCTGTGTATATTGAAATGAGATGAATAAAATGGAAGAATAATGAATGAATAATAGGAAATTGATTAAACCTTGCTCATAAATTTAACTCCAATAAAGCCAGAATTATCTGCCTTTGTCATGATGTTCTGGAATCTTGTTTCATTCATATAAATGCCGATCCTCTTGTTAATGACATTAATTCTTCGTACCCGCGATTTCGCCTGGAAATGTATCATGCTCTAATTTATCTCCTTCGCTACCTCTCCTTGGCCATTATAGCTAACCTTGGCTACCACAGTTTCTTGTTGCTTTGTTTTCCTTCTGCATTATTTTTCATTGGCAACGTTTTGTCTCTTTTTTCAAATTTGCTTTGTTTTATTATTCACGCGTTGGTTTTTTTGAAAATGAGTGTCTGTTTCTTTTTGTGTCGTTTTTTTTTCGATTGAAACATATCGACTTTTTCCATTTAAAATTTTAAAGCTCATGAAGTTTTTTTTCTCTGTAAAGGATAATTCTAGTCAGGTTGAGAGCTTCAAAGGCATTCTTCTATTAAAAAAAGCACTCAAGAATAATTCTGAATTAAAAGTTTAAAAAAAAAACAATCTTTGCTTAAAATACGCAATCATAATTCTAGGTAAGAAGAGGTTTTAAGAGCAGTTCCTTGCTTAAAATATGTTAATCTAACTTTAGCTCTGTAGTGAGTTTTAGAAGCATGAAACATTGGTTTTACAACATCTTAGTGCTTTGACTGCGAAAAGTAAACATTATATCTGTATTTTATGTTGGCATGCTATCCCTTAAACCAGTAGTAACTTCTTTACATAAGAATATACAGAGTGCAAAATGAAAAACACATTACCCTCGTATTTAGTGCCAATCTTAACGGTTCAAAGCAGTGACTTTAAATATGTTAATTAATTAGCGATAACTATTAATTAAGTTACGAAATTGAAGCAAAAACGTATTTTTTCTGAATAAACAATTATTTTTCGACGGATTTTTGACTATCAAAATATAGCGAATTGCCAAAATGTCGAAAATATGGCCGGTTATAATATTTTAATCAGGCTGGAGGTCGAAAGTTTGGGCCCCTTAATATTATTTTCATTTTTTATGTATTTAGCCATATCAAGGGAAATTTTTAAGCACATCAAAAAATTCTTTCACACAATTATTAAATTCGTTCATTAAAATATAATTCATTGTAAAAATTATATTTAATTTTTTATTATTTTTGTTTCATCGAGAATGAAAAAATTTAAAGTTGTAGGATATACAAATTTCACATCGTTTCAAACAACGTAATTTTAAATGACAAAACATAAAATTAGTCGAATACTTTCTGTGTTTTAAAATTTCGAAAAAAAAAATTATTTTTAAATCTTTCCAAGAACTATTTGATCGGTTTCGTTTCTATAAAAGTAAAAACAAAGTTTTCCTAAATAATATTATAGTGTACCAAATCACATATGTATTTATTTTTGTATTAATTTACGAGTTGGGAAAAATGTTTATAATAAGTTTAAAGAAATTCAGTGAAATTTAATGTGAATGGCATAAAAATTTAATACTGCATGTTGTATAATAGAACACGAAAAGTTCAAAAAGTATTTCAAGTAGATGAAGTTCAAAAGTTCAAGTCGATAAAAAGTTGGCTGAAGTCCGTAAAATGGTAGATCCTTTTTAAATATCTATTTTAAATGAAAATGGCGATGTATTGGATTAAAAAACTCTTAAATCTTAAAGTATATCATTAATTAATTAAAAATTATGAACTCAATGAAAGAAATTTCGTCGTGCAACACAAATCATGCAGCAGTACCTTAAAATAGTAATAAAATTTTTTGTTACAGCGACAGTTAATAAAGTTCGAAAGAAATAATCAAAATATATTTAGTGGCGTTTCAAGATCACGTTTTTCTATTAATTCAAAGAAACTGCTCGTAAACTAGAATTGAAGTGGTAGTACTTTATTTATGTTGCACTAGAGCTGTACCAAGAGTTATTGGAAAACATCGCTGAAGAGGATCTGAAGATATGCCATCACAATTTTGATCCCCTACTGAGGGGATTACTCCCCCGCTTTGGTAGCCTGATAAACTACGCATGAAATTGATGGTAGAACAGTTCAGCCAGGATATATACTGAGCACCCTCGGTTTCTTCGCAGACTCATTAAATATTGTTACCCACGAGCTCACTGACAGTAGAGAGATGCTTGACTTCAGTGATCTATTTTAAACAGTGTCTTATGATCAGTCTATTGTTTGACAATTAGAAATGATAAATACTTTTTCAGTCCTGTAATTATAGCAACAGTCCCGCAGTGGACTGATCATTAAGACGCGGTCCCCAGCAGATCACCGAAGTCAAGCATCACTGGCTGCGGATAGTGTGCTGGTGGGTGACCACTTGGATCCGTCTGCGAAGGGTCCGGGGATGTGAGGTATGGGTCCTCGTTAATCTGTTCTACGGTAAAGTGCTCGACTGCACGCATAGGTTGTCGGGCTACCGAAGCGGGGGTGCCATCCCCTCTGCAGAGAATCAAAATTGCGATGTCAGGTCTCCGGATCATCCTCAGGAATGTTCAATAGCACATTGTGCAGCTCTAGTGTGACGTAAATGAACTACTACAGCAACAACAACAATTATAGCAATAAAAAATATATTGTTATTTGGAAAAACTAATACCTATGATAATGTTTGGAATTGTTGCGTTTTTATAAATGATGTCTGAAAACTTCCCATGATTTTTTTTAAATAAAAGTGAGTGACTTGAGATGGTGAATTGAATTTCTTTTAAACAGAAAAGTTGAAAATTTTTTCCAATGCTTTTGTTTACGTTGAATTGAATGAGACTATACAATCATTTAATCGAATAGTTCAAAAGTAGATAGCATTTTTATGTTTAAAATGCACTTTACTTGTACTTTTGGTATGATTTAATAAACTTTTTTATTTTGCTACCCGAAGGGTTATCAAAACATGCTAGGTAAATTTTTATTTGAAATTTTTTATACTGAATGGAATGAGATAAAGTTCGAGTAGGTAATATTAATAGTTTTGAAGTTATAAGGGTTTCTTCATACAAGTGCTATTCAGAAAGAGTACTCTTTATACAAAAAATAAAAACATTTCGATATTTGAAATATTAGCTTAATTGATTAACATTTTGTTCCATTTCACATTCTTTCAGTGAGAAACTAAATAAATAAATAAATAAATAAAACTAAACAAAATAAAGAAAACTGCATCGCAATGAAATGTGATAATGTAACCTCTTAATACCCAGTATCTAATATATTGAACTAACAACACTTGACACATCTTTAACATCATAAAAAAAAAAAATTTTTTTTTTGAGATTTTTTTTCTGTTTGATGCTTTTACCAAGTTATTTTTAATAAAAAAAAATGCAACTAGATTTATTCTCATTGTTCGGAGTTTTTAATTGCAGTGAAAATGTATAGAAAAGATCAAACATTTGATTTAAGTAACTTTCATTAAATGGATTTAGTTTCACATCCAAAATGTGAAGAAATACACAATACAAATATCCTAAACAAAAACAACAATCTAAAATGTATATTTTTTATGTATTAAGCTAAAAATAACTAAAAACACTATATAATTAAGCTCAATTTAAAATTTTTTTTTTTTAAAAATGTGCTTATGACTAATAATGTGACTTTCATACATATATTTCTATGTAAAAATCGCATTTCTGTCATTATTTAAAGCTCGGATCTTTGGAGGATATTAGAAATTTCCTACTGAACTCTACGTTATGATAATAGTAAACTTTAATTTGAATGAATAATTTTTTCCCCACTGTGCAGAGTTGTACCAGTTAGGCTTGCTTACGCGGAGTATCAACCAAGCTCCGGGAAAGAAGTGAGTTCGAATCCAGTGATTTTCCTTCATGGAGCAACACTCTCGAAGGAATCTTTTCAGGATCTTCCCCAAGTCATCGCAGATGGGGCAAACAGAAAAGTGAGTCAGTGGTATTTATTTCCATACATTGTAAATACTGAAGTGTAATATCTCTGCTAATATGGCGGTGAACAGCCCGAAAAATTATGTGGCTGAACACTTCACTTCAAGTTAGCGTCAAATCGAGGTTTCATATAAAATTTAAATGGCGTAATTTAAATCTAAACACCTAAAGTGGGAAAAGCATACGCCTATCTCACGTGCATTCACACCATACTTGAATTATTTTCGTTTCCAAAAGCACTGAAGTTGACTCAAGTTGAATATCTTCAATAAACTGGTTACGACCCAGTGCGAATTGGAGTGGGATTGTTGTTCTCTTCTCCGCTATTATATATCAATAGAAATGAAACTTTGCCGTTTAAATATGTATGTCCCAGAAAGCATGTAACATTACGGCAACCTTGTGTCGAAATTTTCCTTTTATTGTTACGAAAATGTTTATACTAAAAACCTTTTTTCAATAAAGCAAAAAATATTGCAAACCTTTCATCCTAAAAGGATTAAAAATTATTTTTAAAGCTTTTTTTAAAAAGGATTGTCACTAAAGGCCTGGTTTCTTAGGACAGGACGCCGTCAGCTGGAAATCAGCGCTAACCTCTGATTGGTCCATTTGTGAGTTTGATAGTATACGTCATCGAACGCTCATCTTGAACTACAATTGCCGTCCAACTCAACTGCAGTTGGATTACAACGTGACGTTAACCACAGAAGCAATGGCGGACAACATCCAACAGCACATTGAAATCAGCCAAGATTTTGATTTTGACATTAAACATAGCTTCTTCATTAAACATAGCACTCTTCATTTAGCTCAGCTATAATGTGTTTTTTCTTGGACAAAGTCATTATTTGTTCTCTAAAACACTGGTCGACAATAACAAAATCAATACAAATTCAAAATAAATATTTGTTTACGTTATTAACGCATGCGCAATGAGAGATAATGTCTGCGTTGGACCGACTGCTCACGCTGAGCTAACAAAAAAGTATTTTTTTGGCGTCAGCTCTACGTCAACTTTCCGCTGACGCCCAGATAAGGCGCTAGTTCTAAGAAACCAGGCCTTGAGCTAACAAACCAGTATTTTGTTGGCGTCAGCGGGACGTCGACGTCCCGCTGACGCCCAGATAAGGCGCTTGTCCTAAGAAACCAGATCTTTAGGTAGTTAAGTTTACAAGACGCTGCGAAAAGAAACCTTATTATTACCTAGAATAATTAAGATTATTTTCACCTTAAGAAGATTTTACTTAGATTTAAAATCATTTTCATCACGCTTGAAAACCCTAAGACAACCTCGATTTTCAGGTTTTTATATAGAGGGTTGTTTTCTAAGGTTTTGCATTAGGGTAATGTGTGTAGAATAGAGCAGGTTGTCACAGATCTCGTTTAAAGGTTAGAAGCTTTACATGTAAATCGCATATTGTTTAAGTTTACATTAAAAGCGACAGAGCTGGCTTTAGATAGGCTAGACTTGACCTAACAGTTATGAGTAACAGTTGAAAATTCACAGCAGTTATAAAAATAGCATATTATTCGTAAAAAAGCATCATTGCATATTACGACGGAGCCTTCGAAAAACAGCTTCAAGCATAGTTTGAATTCTGCTTAATATTCTCTCTGAGCTACGTGTATATTTGATTTACAAACTCATTTTATTTTAAGAATTAGTGCATGTCTCGTATTCTGAATTAATGATTATGACTTCATATTGTATAATAAAAATAACTTTACTGATTCCTGCGAGTATCTTATCTCACTGTAATTATAAATTTTTGTGTTGCTATATACGAAGAATGGTGGCAGTAGCTTTGCACCAAGTAGTGTAAAAGAACATTTTCTAGTTCTTTGAAATATTGGTGTAGGGAATCAGTATTAATTTTGGTCAAAATAAGTGAAAAATATTGTATTTAGCATTCTAATAATTTATGAATATGAAATACAGCATGAAACACTGGTTTCCTTATCAGGTAAAATCTTCTAAACACACCTCATTTCCAAACAATAATTTTCAAATTTGCACTTATTTGCAATTATTTATATCTAAGAAAAACAGTTATTCATCATTGAAATTTCCTCCATTTACAAAATCAGTTATTGAGAAATATTTGAATATGAATCAAAGATTATTTTTAAAACTACTACTTTTGGATTTTATATTTTAGTACATATATAATTCCGATAATCTAAAAGATTTTTTTAGCAATTATTAGACCCTTTGTTTATAATATATAAATACTGAAATATATTTTTACTTGTAATTAGAGCGCCAGAAAAAATATTTTAAAAAGAACGCCGGTGTTCCATCTGTGTCAAAAGTATAAATCAATTAACCATAAAAACATTCCAAAAATAGTTTCAGATAAAGTCGCATAGAAAAAATATTATATTTTAATTTCAGGATTTGGGCCTCGATGGTTGGAAAATTTAAATTATAAGCTAGTTTGGAGAAATTAAAATTTCTACTTAATCACAAATAATTGTATATTTTCTTATATGATTTCTTTATTTTAATGTTCTTTTATTTTGTGAAAGGTATTTGCTTTGGATGCCAGGAATCATGGTGATAGTGAATACACCGATGTTTTTAATTTTGATATTAATGTCGATGATCTCTTTCATTTTATGGACACTGCTAGCATTCAGAAAGCTGTATTAATTGGACACAGTATGGGCGGGATTACCGCCATTAATGCAGCTCTCAGAAAAGTGAGTTACCTTCTTTTTATGTTATTTTAAGTTATTCTTAAAATTTCACTTGCATTTTTTCACAAGGAACATTACTCACAAATAATGAACTATTTGAAGGTATAAAAATATTAGCTACTAGGGAAGTTGAACCAGATTTCTAATCAGTAATATTTTAGAAATAAACTGCAACATATAAAATGTTTAGACATCGATTTGTAATAGCACAGGAACATCACCAAAATAGAATATAATAGTATTAAAATTCCTTGAGAGCTGCCAACTCGTTTATTTTTTTTCTTTTGTAAATCGTTAATCCCATATGAGAGTAAATAAATATTTTATGTATATTCAATCAACTATAAGACAATAGTGAATTTCTCAATATTTTATTCGAAAGAAGTGTTCAAAAACTTCTCTTCGAACACTTCAAAAATTTCTTTTCGAACACAGTTCAGAGAGAGAGAGAGAGAGTAAGATAAAAAGAAGTTCAAAGAAGAAGAATGAACACGTGTTCAACCTAAGAAATTTATTTTAAATTCCAAACGATTTAGAAGTTTCGAATGTCTCCATCTTTTAAAAATAAAAGATATAAAAGATATACCTAGTCACATTAATGACATCAGTCAGATACAGGACCTACATAGTTTAAAAAACTATATAACTTTCCTTTTTCTTTTATAAATTTCAATTTTCTTTTTAGCCCGAAAGAATAGAGATGATTTTTGTGGAGGATATATACACAAAGAAAGTTCCAAAAGAACAGTTGGTAGAAATTGCCGGTTTTATTCAAATATGGGTGGCATCTGTTCAATCCGTCCCGAAGGAGCTGAATTACACTGATGCATTGAGATATGCCTGCGACGTTTTCTACAGTAAACTACCTCCAGACACTGTAAATAAATATTTAATATATCTCTAGACTTCATTTTATAATTAAGCTTAAGTTATATCTCATTTTCTATTTAAACTTTTAATATTTAAACTTAAGATAGGGTTCGTTTATGAATTTCTGAACACTTGGGGCATATTTTTTTTCATCTTTTTTTCTTTTTTAGAAAACTTTAAGCCTGCTGATTATTCAACATATTTGATTCAAAGATTAGTTAACTCTCTTCTCAGGTGTATTTCGCTTTTCCAACAAAATAAAAAGAGCGATTTTTGGTCTCTTATTAAAAAAAAAATAGTCAAAGACTTTTGCGGTTTGGCCCCAAAGATGACGGGAATAAGTTAGATCATGATAGACGCAGAGATGCCAACTTGCTCTGGACAGTAGATAGATATTTTCGAGTGGTATAATCTTTTAATGTAGGATTCTTGGTTTGGATTTATAGGGTTTTCACTCATCACTTCTTTTAAGTAATTAAAAGGCTTATGTGATATACCACTTTGTTATAGTTGAGCCGTGTTGAGTAAATAGTGGGCAAAATTAACTGAAAATCTTAATATTTAAGTTTGTAGTTCTCTACCATTTAAAAAAAAAAGAGAAAAAAAAAGATTTTGTCGAATCCTGAATAGTTGGCATCTTTTTAGACAACATGTTAAAAATACAAAGGCACAACTGTTGTTAGCCGAGATTATTTTCCAAATGTTTTTCAGGAAGGAAGTTAGAAATTTCTACATAAGAAATGGTAAACCATTATGTATTATGAGTCTGGAAAAAAAACTTTATAATTTTTTACAGGTTAACTAAACTAAAGCAGGAAGCAACGTGAATAAAGCACAAATTAAAGTACGTAAATTGACATGCTATAGTTTCAGTTCTATAAACAGGAGCCTTCCTTAGTACCTAAACGCCGAATGTGTCACAACATTTTGACGTCTAAACACTGATCCCAAGCACCTTCTTTAATGTCCATTTGAGGTTTAGAGACTGAGGAACGTTCTTGTTTATGGAACTAAAATTATAGTATATCAATTTATACACTTTCATTAGCGTTTAATTCACGTTGTTTTTTCCTTTAGTCTACATAGCATAAGGTATTACCCTTTCCTTTGTTAGTTAACTTAAATTAAAGTAAAATTCTAGCCATAAAATTAAGGTTAAATATCATAATAATCACAAGGAAATTAATAATAACTGTGTTTATGACGCTGATAATGATTAAATGTTTTACAGCCGGACCTCCCCTCAAAAGAAATTTTTTGCAAACACAATTTTCCTTTTGGACGTACAGCTAACGGTGATTATTACCTCAAGCTCAACAAAGAAGTCCTGTATAAAGCTTTCATGGATGCAGAAACTCTAATGAGTGAATCCAGCGGCCAGTTTGATGGTCCAGCCTATTTCTTATACGGAACTCTTTCTGAATTTCGAGTGTGAGTATTCTGTAATTTAAAACCAAATTGTGAAATGTGATTTAATATATACAGATTTTCAGTTTAATTTACTTTTAAGTATAGCATTTTTTTCTAAATGTGTGGTAATAAGAATTATAAATTGAAAGCCAGAATTTCTGGTAAGCCATTTGTATATGAACGGAAAAATTACCAAATGAATGGTTTAAATACCGTTTGGTTTTTATCACCAGAATTATGTTTATTTTGTTTTACATTATTCATTAATTGTTTTTTTAAATTATTATTAGAAATGTTATGATGGTCAGTACGGTAATTTTTCCAGAATTATTTTCTCCGTGTATAACTAGCTAGAGTTTTAATTTTTAATTAAATTTTTAGGTGAAGTTTTAATTTTTCCTTTTATATCGAGAGCCTTAAATTCCTTGTTGCAAAGTATATGCAGATTAAAAAATAGAGTTAGAAAGATATCTCTTAATCTTGTAATATTTTAATTATTTTTTTTGCTTATTGTCTATGCCAAATAGTAGTACCTCTAGTAGAGCTTTTAAGTCGACAACAGTTTTACTTACCCATTTCGTCAGTTTGTTCATTTTATTTGGATATGCTGGAACTCACGTGAATGCTATTAATTAAACAAGATGAATGATATTAACATTTCTTATATCGTTCCTTGGAACGATATAAGAAATGACATCGTTCCTTGGAACGATATAAGGTAAAACTGAAATGTTATGTAGGTTTGTTTACTATTGATTTCCGTAATGTTTGTTGTCAAATAGTTTTAGCATGCTTAAAATAAGAGTTTAAATAGTTTATTTTATTTTTAAAATTTATTTGCTGTTATTGTTGGATTTTGATATTTTCAGATGGGAAGAAGAAGAAAATATTCGAAAACACTTTCCGAGTGTGGAGCTCATTGGATTTGAAGATGCAAAGCACGATATACACATGGAGTTTCGTGAAAAATTTATTAGCACAGTACTCAATCTATTGAAAAGCTAGATTTTGCGCTCTTTTTGTACATTTGAATATTTGTTGTGAGTAAACTACTCAAGTAATGTTTACTTTTATTTCTCCAATGACTTATTTTCACCGTATCTTGTTTTGAATAGTATACTTTCACTTAAATATGCGTTTGCTATTTTGTTACTTATAGTGGCAAAGACACAGGATCTAAGATTGTTAATTTATTTATCATAAAATGAGTCTTTTTATTTTTCAGTCAGTTTGGCGCAAAGAATTTCAATTATTTTTGTTAAATATTCATTTATTTTATTCAATTTTTATGTACTTAAAAAATAAAACAAATTTTAAAAAAAAGTTAGCGGAGGTCTAAATTTTTTTTGGCGAATTTTCGCTTGCGCCTAACTAACCGAAAAGAACCTTAGTCATTTATTTGTCATTAGGCTTGACAGAAAATTTCGCTGCTAACATGAAATGTCAGAAATTATAGGATGTATATATACTCAGCGTAACTATATCCCATGCTAAAATCGAAATTGATTTTATTTTCTGTCGGTGGAACTAAACGTGAAAGAATAAAAAAATAAATACCCTAGGAAAACGTTGACCACATTTAAAAAAAATTTCCTTGCCTAGAATAAAAAATGAAAGAGCAAAAAAATGCTTGAAATTTCCTAAAACATAATCAATAGTCGAGTTCAACACTATTTTGGAGCTAACATTTAAAGAAGCTAGTTTGACCAAAATGAAAATCGAGCCTCAGATTAGACTGAATGATTCATAATGTTCCAATTTAAAATCCTACGTTGGCTTGAACTTTGATAAATAAATCTTTAAATTTTTAAAAACTATTTCATAATCTATTTAGTTTAATCTATCATCCTATTTCACATTGTTCCATAATTTGCTGATAAAAAATGGTAATTACTTTGCGTTTGTGATTCAGAAATATACATCTCATAGGTTTGCCATCATTTTGCTGTATGTACATTCAGCTGTATGTCCTGATCTGAATCTGCCAGCAAATCACTGACATGTTAGGTTTATCAAAGACCAACGGCATTGTAAATGCATAGAATAAGCGATTTCACATGAATGGAATCAGTTTACAGCGTCTTTAAAATTAAAGTAATTTAACTTAAGTTATAATTAAAGAGGAATACTTTTTTTAATTAATGGAACAAGTAATTTAATTATTTTATTAATTTACAAACTGCTAAATTTTTCTGAAAACACGCTCAAGTTCTTGTGCTATATAAAACTGGAAAAAATAGCGAAAAATAAGTAATTTCTCCTGATTGTGAAACACAGGATTTAGGAAATTTTAAATTTCTAAAAAAATGAATTTTTTTAGAATACTTTTAAAGTGCTAAAATTAAGAAATATTAAGAGTCCATTTTAAATTTAAATAATATTTGGTGGATTAGTTAGTGATGATATGTTCATACATATAAAAATCTCATGTAAATGATAATCCATCCGTGCAATCTCATTAGACAAATAAATTACATGATATGATTCAATTTTGTACATGAAATTCCAGATTTCTTTGGTAGTCATTACCATAAAATTATTAAAAGTTTTAAAGGTATATCTTACTTGTAAATTTTTTCTTTATTAATGTAGACAGTTATTCATGGCCTAACAGTCAAGAAGAACTGTGAGTTTGGAACAGTTATTTATGACTGTTAGGTCAAGTTTAGCCTATATTAAGCCAACACTACCCATGCTAATTCTGAAAATGACACAAAACGTTAAAGCCTTACTTATGAGAAAATGAAAAGTGTTTGCTGGCTAATCTTTCACATTAAAAAAGTTATTCAAATGCTGAATTATTCAGAAATGAATAAATAAGTTAAAATTTAAGTGATAAAAAGCGAAAAGTGTTTACAAAACCATACAAATCATTATAAAAGTCTGTCACAGCAAAAAACATTAAAAACAACAAAACCATTTTGAGTATCGGAAGAAATTAGATGATGTTTCTAATAATCACCTTTCACACTACCTTTAATTATTCTCTAACAATCAAATTGGTTTTGATGCTTTAAAACCCTCTTCACTGCGATTGACTTCAATAATGATTCGTCAAATTTTGATAGTGATTGTTTCATATTTTCGCCATTTTAAAATTGCAATTCCTAACGTGTTCATTTTTTTTCAACTTTCGTCAAATTTTCTAAAAATATACATTAACGGGCAAAAACACAGCATCATCTTGAAAAATTAATATTTTGCATTAATACATCACAATATTAACACACATTACAGCATTAACATTAGTGGATTAAAATATTAACATTAATGCATTGTTTTAAAGCATAAAATTAGCATAATTGATGTAAATTAAGTTAATTAATTTAATAAGTTAGTTAATAAGTAATTAATTATAATTATTAATAATAATACTAAATAATTGAGTTAAGTTAATAAATTAAGTGATGTAAATAATTGAGAAAATATCATGCAATGTAAATGATGTAACAAAACTAAAGCAATCTTATTTAAATTTGGCACGCCTTATCGAGAATTTAAATTTGAATTTTCGTTAGAGCTGTATGTAAAGCTAGTTATTTTTGGTAAATTTTAGTCTGTACATTAATAAATAGGTTGCTCTCAAAGAAAAAAGTACCCATTTTTTAATATCTAGTCAATAATAGTTTTGCAAACTATTAAGTATGCAGAAGTTTTAAAAGTTAGTTTTCTTGAAAGAAAGTTCAACGAACTCAAAAGGTTTCTTAAAAAATATTCTTGACACGTTGAGCAATAAGGTTTTAAATGGATTATTTTGAAATTCATTTTACCCATTGCCAATTTTTTAACTAGCATTTTCATAACAATAAAATTTAAATTAAATCTCTTATGTTACTAGGGCAGTTGATTTTTCCACTATAAGTGTCATTTCCCCTTGGGAATAGCGTATAATTATTATTATAGCGATATTATTTAATTATTTTATTGTAATAAGTCAGAGAATGTATAAATAGTTTATTTAGTTATGGAGCAATGCTTTACATATTTTAAAAGTTTTCAGTTTATCTTTAGTCGTTGAAGCACAGTTTCTATTAGTTTTTCTGGAAATTCAAAGTGCACATTGTGTGTAGCACCTTCGAATTCAATTAATTCAGCATTCGGAAAATGTTTCTTAATATGAGCTTCCTCTTTACCTCTATAAAAATAAATGAAAAAAATGTTAATAAAACAAAATATTAAAGTATTAAAAATACATAGACAATTAGCAACAATTTTAGAACTTACGTATTTCCAGTTGCTTTTTTTTACAATAAAAACTTTTAGCTTCTCCCCAAAGATAGATTAAAATTTTTCTTTTTCTGTATTAAAATTTTAACAGATGTGATAATTTTTTTAAAAATTTAATGCATCATAATTTAAAGTAGTTTAAAATTTTCATACCTTAATCCAAAGAAATTTCAATAATTATTAAATTAAATAATTATTAAATAGTGGCTCCATGCCTGATGCCGAAGCAATTTGTAATCATTTTCTGTATAATTCAAGCAGGATTTATCATTATTTTTATCGAAAAAATTAAATTTATTGAAGTAAAATTCCGACCACTTTAAGACTAGTTAGACTACTAAAATTTTAACTGCAGATCTGTGCTGAATAATAAAGGATTGAAAAGTCGACCATTTACTCTACTTGAAAATGAACAACTTTTAAGTCAAATTGCAAATAAAAGTGAATCCAGGTCTTCTAAATACATTTAGAAATACTTGGATTAAATAAAGTTGATTTTATGCTTTTCGTTTTTAATTGCTTAGAGCTAAAAATAGTTTGGGAAGTTTGACGCGAACATTGAGAAAAACGGATAGTTAAGAAAATGGTAAAACTGCAACAGGTAAACAATAAAAATTTACGAATTAAAATGTAATTTTAAACTAAGAATTTCATCTTTAAATTGAAAATTAAATTTTTAAAAGTAAAAGGAAAACTGTTGAGTTTCATCTTAATCACTCTAAACTATTATGAATTTAAATACAAAACATTTTCGTTCTTATTTGAGTTTAGGCAAATCTCTATTATTATATATTTTATAATTTATTAATAAAATCATAAAATATAATGAATTGTATAATTTTCGATTGATATATTGATGCAATTTTTAAAATTAAATATCAGTAAAAATATAGTTAAAATTTTTTTCTGTGACATAAAATTATTAAGTTGACTGTTTTCAGAATTATAAGTTTAAAACACTTCAATGTATTTTCGGATGAAGATCTAATGGAGGAATTTTTGAACTAATTTTGGTGTCCAGATCAGCACCAGCTTAAGACTTCAAACCAAAATTCTAACATGATTGTAACTCATTAATTTTTATTTATTTATATTTTTTTATTGAAGTTCAAATTTATTGGAATTATTAAAAAAAAGCACGTATTACTTTTATCAATTTATAAAAACGAGAAAGAACTCGTAACAATGTGGCCACCACTCCTATAATAATTCTCAATGTTTCAAAAATTATCTTACAAATCAGTGATCACTCCTACTTTCGGCTGTAGATTCATCTTAGATCATACCTATTTGCTATTGGTACACGTGTTTTTATCCCAGCTGATATTTAAGCTGAAAAAATTTTGAATCGAATTCGTGATAAACGTGATTAAGAGTTTTACTAAAAATAAAAACTATTATCCTTAAAGTAAAAGGTTGAAAGATTTCAAATCTTTATTTAAAGCATGAAAATTAATTCTTTACTCACTCTCAAAAGCATTTAATTTTCATACGCAATTTAACCATTAACCGTCAAATTAACCGTCATAGATTTTTAGTGGATTCTCACCAAAATAATTAAATCCAAAATCCGCTCAGTTGATTCTTGATATGTTTTAACTCAGTCATAAAATTATTTATTGAACAACATTCATTCACACAAAGAAAAAAAATGAAAGAAATTAATTAACTAGTTAAATAAATAAATAAATTAATAAATCCCCAAATCAATTATTTATAAATTATACGGCTATTTTTCTTCAGAATATATATTTTTGTGTTTTGTTTACATTGAATAGTTCACCAAGTATCAATTACATTAATTTATTGGAATTCTATTCCTTCAACACTCACTATTAGAACATAATATTTACAGTTGACTTTTGGTGCAAAAGTCAAAGGTTGTACAAAGACCTTCAAAATAAGGCATTTAACTTCAACTTTAACTGTCTAAATCTGCTTGTGCCTAATCAGTGAACCATAATGGCATATATACTTCATCAGCAAATACATACTAATGAGAAGTAGGTTAGAAAATCAGTGTATTTGGGGAATATGGTGCGTATATATTCTCTCAGATAATTGATAACCAATAAGTTAACATAAATATTTAATTACAAAAAATACCGAAGGAAATTTACCAAGAAAAATAGAGGTTTTATTTAATACGACAAATAGTTTGTTGCCGCACAGATCCACAATACTGTCTTTAAGATGAAATTTCGATGTTTTTCACCGGAAATTATTTTTCACAAATCAGGTACTCATTTTCTCTCGCATCCAGTGAGAATGACCCTTAAGTAAAAAAAAGCCGAACAAGGTCAATATCTCACTTGTTTTGAAAAATTATGTAAGTTACACACTTTTTTGATCTCCCAGTAAGATCAAGGTGGCTACTAAAGCTCATTTCCGTTAAGGGGTAAGCAAATATATTGAGCTTAAACCCAAAGTCTTAAAAACAATTTATAGTTATCCCTTAATTATTTACAAAATCAACTAGTCAAAAATAGACTTTAGAAGTTTAGATTCACATTACATAAAAGTTGAAAAAGTAGATCTATAAATTGATTTGATTATGCAATACTTAAAACTTTCTTCTCCAGTTAATTTCCTTATTGGTCACGTTTAATAATAATAATTGATGACCTTCAAACTTGTATGAAATTATTGTAATTTTTTTTTGCACTCTAACTGTCAAATATTTCTGTACCCTAGGAGTACGCCATTCATATCTTGCCCTTTATAGGTACTTCTATAGTGTATATCTCATTAGAATATATTCACTGAAATATAAACCTTTGTGGCTCCTAATTGGCTCAAGTACATTTCGAGAATTCAAATCGATGAAAAAAAAGTCTTTCAAAGAGTTTTTGAGTAATTTTTTAACCTGGTGCTAAAAGTCAATTGAAGTTATTTAGTTCCTAATAATTAGCAAAGAAGTGGTGGAACCCAAACTAATTACACAGACAATAAAATTCTTGTAAAATTACCGTATTGTATGATAAGGACAGTTTTGGTAAAAAAAAACTAGCAAAACGTAATTTTAGTTAATAAATCCTAAATGTATGGTATTTAAACCATTCATTTGATAATTTTTCCGTTAATATCGTAATGGTTTGCCAGAAATTCTCGTTTTTAAATATATAGTTCTTTTTATTAGACATTTTGTAAAAAGTACAAAATTGAGGAATAAATTTAACCGAATAAATGATTTTAATGCGCTGTTCCAAGATATCATGATAAAATTACCAAATTTTACAATATTTTCCAATTTTATCATACATTATAAAACCATAGTTTAATCTTAATTTTACCAAAATCATTGTCAAAGCGCTTTGGTAAAATTTTTTTAGTGTTCCCATAGAGCCAGAAACATGGTAAAGTTTACTATATTCTGGTAGTTTTGAACATATTTTTTTCTCAGTGTATCTATGCTATGGCGCACACTTAGTTTAAAAGGGATTTCGTAACGAACTGGTTTTTTTAGGATTGATTTTCCAGATAGCTGAATTAGTAACAACCTAGGTATAAAATCAATCCAGTTGGAAATGAATTAAAATTTATTTATGAATACTGTAACTTACACAAAAAAGGGCGAAAGTGCTCCATATATGAAGTATGCTGGTCCATCAAACTGACCAACGGGTTCAGTCATGATTTCATCTATCTTCGTTAAAATTGGTATTATAACATCTTTGTTAAACTTCACGTCATAACTACCATCACTGCTTCGCTTGAGTTGGATTCCAGAATTGAATAATTTTTCCTTCTCTGTAACATCTGGCTATAAAAATTAAAGTGCTCTCTTAAAAAATAGGTTCAGCACATCATAATAATGGACCATAATATTTTTACCTCGAGCTATATCACTGCAAAAAGGTGTTTGATTGTTCAAGTTAGACCATAGAATAGTGTAATCAAGTTTGAGAATAACGATAACATGGTTCAACTTATCATCGTAAAAATTCATTGATTTTGCATGCATCGTCTGTATTCATTGATTTTGTGTACTACTGTGTTCTTTTATGATTGCCAAGTTTTTGAGTTGGCGAATTTTGGATAATATGCCATTAGTCAACTTTTAATTATCAGGGTCTTTTTACCTGATATTAAAGTATAAATAACTAAACACTATAAGGGCCTTTTGGCCTTAGTTTGCTTTGAGGATTATAGTGGCTCTAAATTAAATGTACAGGTGTCTTATTTATTAATCATAAGTATTGTGCCATTCCTTTATTATTGTAAACCAAGTTTGTCAGGCTGTTACCCTTGACATATGTAATTTTAAATGAATTTTAATAAATGCTACGGTGGTGCTTCGCCGGGTTCACTGACCGGCACACACCGAGCCTGCGCCCCCTCTCCTAGGTGGGCCTGCCGCGGCGACGGGTTTGAAACTTTACGTATGCCCTAAAATTATAGGGTGGGGCGAAAATTACTTTACCTTATCATCATAAAAGGGATTCAGCAAATTTGAAGGAAATCATGGTTTAAATTGCTTCAAAATGTCAATCAATGTAAACTCATATAATATTTTTGGAAAGTATTTTCTAACTTACTTTATAAAGCATTTCTAGCTAATTTCTTTACCAAATAGTGCTTACGGATCATTTTTAAAACCAAAAAGGTTCCCAAAATGATGAATGAATGAGCAATGAACAGGACTTCACACAATAAGTAATGTTGATATCCCCAATAGGTAAAAAATACATATAATGAACAAAGTTCCAGTTAAAAATATTGATAGTAGTATTAATGATGTACTAGTAGTATTAAATGACTGCTACAACAAAGTTTTTTTTTTAAAAGGCCAACAATTATATGCAATTTTTATCAAAAAATTTAATTGACATCAAAATGAGAACATTGTAACTGACTACTTACAGCATCTGGCGGAATTTTACTGTATAAGTCTTCTAGTGCATGCTTGACTGCATCGTCTGGATCCAGGTCGTTGGGTATTTCAGAAACGCTTACCAGCCATAACTTTAAAAAATCACTAACAAATTTAAGAATTTCCGCCGGTAATTTCTTTGTGAACATATCTTCTATGAAAACCATTTCCACTCTTTCAGGCTAAAATGAAATAGAACTGTAATAGTGTAAAAACATTCTTTGTGGAAAAATATTCCCGTGTTCCAAAAATGTCTAGTAATTTAAAAATAAATAACTAAGTGAATGAGAACACACATTTTGTGCACAACTATTTAAAATACAACATTTAAAAATACACAAAATTACAAGCACTATGGCAACTCTTATACCACTCACGTTTGTCTATCTCTGCTGTAAAAAATATTTCGAAATTGATCTAAATATATGACTATAAGTATATAAAATTAGTGGAAAAGGAAATGTTGAAAGTTTTTAAAACCAAAAATAGTTTTTAAGACCGAATGTAAGCATTTTTTTTAAAGGAAAAATTATTTTTTCGAACATTTCTTGAACCGGTTCTATGAATCTGGTCTGCCAGTTCTGATTTTTGAGAAGAATTGAATTTTCAAAAACTTAGTAGGTATTTTAAAAATAATTTTTTGTGATAATGTTTAAATTGTTTTTCGATTTGATATAATGATTGGTTGTGGTGTCTTACTTGAACTTAGAAGGCAAAGACTTCGAACTTTGCGAACTTTTTTTTTGGCAAAGGGGCTGTTGTGTTTGAACATTTAACGTTCCCATAAAGCTCTTTAATAAAAGCTGTTAAAACAAGGAAAATATTATTAAATGCTTAGTAATATAGGTAATTGATTTACCAACTACGTCACGAATTTTTTCACTACTTTTATTTAAGAATAATGCAAGGAACACAGGTTGTTCCTATTGCCTACATAGGTAGTTTGGAACATTCGATACCGTAACATGTTTAGAAAAGTACTTTTTCAATTATTCTAACAAAATAATAAAGAAACAAATAACTACAAAATAACTTGGAACTGGAACTGTGTTCACGGCACCTGCACTGAAGTGCTTATTCACGGTAGAACAGTTCAGCCTATGAAGATATAATGCAGATGGTGTATTCAATAGAAAAAAAATTATGAGAATTCTTAAAAGAATGGAAAGATGGTTTCAAGATCCATAAAATAGAGAAGGCATGATGACTTCACTTGGCCTAAAGTAACTTGCTTTTTCTCAATGAGTAACAATTAAAATTAAATCTGTGCTGTAATTTAACACGTTTACTGTCCATATCGTTCTAATTTGGTGACTATCACCCCGAACACTCTCAGAAATAAAACGCACATTTTTGACAATTCAGCAATCCTTGAGCTGAATTTCGTTAATTTTGAGAATTTTGTCCCGAAATTACGTGATTTGTGACAAAACGCTAACTCTAAAATTTGTGACTAAAATATTCCAACTCGGAACCTCATCTCAGTTCATTGCGGGAACATAAACCGGAAACGTTTTAGTCAAAACGAAAAAAGTTTCATGAAAGTTTAGCACGCATTTTTTTTTTACCGTAGCAGTGTTAAATATAAACCGCAGACTCTAACATTGACTATCCAGTTTCCAATTAGACAGAACACGGGCATTTATTACAAATTTGTCAAAAAAACCTTATGAAATGTAATTTTTAACTCGTGAAGTATTGTTTTAACAATAATTTGAATGTTTTACACCATTCTTGTTTTTATCAGGTCTTAAAAAGTTGCTTTTTCCTTTAAATTTTTTTTTTTTAAAAAAGTTGTTTCTGTTCACACAAGCCATATTACTCGGGGCAAGTGTTGGGAATCTCGATAACTTTCTCAGGTGTCATTGATTACAACCCAGAAAGTTATATCTAAAGCCAAAATAAAAATAATTTCAATCTATGCCTTATTGGAGAATAAATATTGACGTATATTAATTGAAGTACTAATTTGTAATAGAGCATTTAACTATACTGAGAAAGACATTTTTGTACGGAAATCAATACATTTGAGAACCGTTATTAAATTTGGCTCATTTGACAAGTATTTAGATTTTTTTTTATTTTATCAAAAAAATTGAAACGTCAACTTTAAATGTGTATTGAGATGCAGTCCTCTAGTAGTTATATCAGTCATTGACGATAAAAGTTTAACAACAATTTTTTTTCTTGAAATTATTGAAATATTCTTTTTTTTTTAGAAAAATGAAAGATTAATAAATAGAATAGCTATATAAATCTTTCATTTTTAATTGAGCATCATAATCCCCTATCTGTAAACAACTTCCACTCTATCACTGTACCTGATTTTTATTTTATAAAAAAAACTTGAGTAGCACATTTGTGTAAGAAGTTTCAATATATTTATGTCGATTTGATATCATTGCGACTTAACAAGGGGGAAGAAAACTAAAGTTGCTGACTCACAAATGACAAAATCCATTTAAAGCATGTCCACACACTCTCAGAAATAAACTCACTTTTGACAATTTTGACGATTTCAGCACTCTAACTTTTGACAATTTAGAAATATTTGAGCTACATTTCGTTAATTATGAATATTATTTCTTCACGAAATCACGTGGTATGTGACAAAACGGGGACTCTCAAATAGGTGACGAAAATGTATCCTTAACTCGAAACCTCATTGTAGTGTATTGTGGGATCTTGTTAAACAGAATAAAGCTAGGAGAAGATTAGACGAGCGAAAATAAAGAAGAAATACTAGCAGGATGGGTTGTATAGTGGACAAGGAGTTTGCCTCGCACAGGAGAATCCGGGTTCGAATCATAGGCGAAATTTATCTAACTGTTCCATTTTTCTTTCTTGTGTTATTAAGGTAACACTCACTCAGCTGTATGTTAATCGCGAAGAAGTGGCTATTAGAAAAGTTAGGCATCACAAGGTTTTTTCTTTTTTGAAAAAAAAAGGAAATAGGATGACAAAATTCGTTTTTTTGAAGAATAAATAACTATCACGATAGTTATTTCGTCACTTTGACGACATATTCACTCAGAGCATATATCAGAAAACGGTTTCGTTACAAACGAAGAAAGTTTCGAGATATCTGAGTACGCTATTTTTACAGTGCACTAACCCCACCACCATGTGTTTACACTAGTCCCAAGAATGTTTGTTTATGCCTAATATTGATTAATAGAAACTATACTGAGCAAAAGTTAATATTGAAATAGGTAAAAAAAAACAGTATATTTTATAACACATTATCGCATTTGGTTGAAATTCTGAAAATAAAATGTGTTAACAAAAGAGTAGAGAGAAAATTTAAAAGTTAATTTTGCACCTTAAAATCCTTTTACAAATTTCTACTAAAGTATTAACAGTGTTAAAAGTTAATTTTACACCTTAAAAACCTTTTACAAATTTCTTCTAAATTATTAACAGTGTTAAAAGTTAATTTTGCTCCTTAAAAACCTTTTACAAATTTCTACTAAAGTATTAACAGTGTGCTTATGAGTGTACATCAAAGTTGCAAATTAACAATATTTCATAGAGGAGATTTGGTTAATAAATAAATAAGCTATTCAAAACGACCACATTAGATCCATGTACACATTAGCCTTCCTCTCTCCTAGATTGAAAACGTAAAGAAATGCATGGAAAACACATCATCTTACATTTTTTAAAGCTGCTCTGATTGCCGTTATTCCACCCATGCTGTGTCCAACTAAGACAGCTTTCGGAACATCGATGGTATCCATAAATTGGAACAAATCCTCTACATTAAGATCGAAATTAAAAGATTCTGTAAATTGACTATCCCCATGATTTCTTGCATCATATGCATAAGCCTGGTAAGGAAAGGGAAAAAATATATAGTAAAAACAATTTGTCTAAAAATTCGAAACAATCAATTACTTTAAATACAAAGTTTGTAGAAAAAATTAAGTTAATGAAATACTGTTTTGAAATTGAACTATACAGAATAATACCTTGTAATTTTCTTAATGATTAAAGTAATTCGAAAAACGGTTTCTGTCCTCCTTTAAGATGAATATCATTTAAAGATAAATTTAAAATAATATTTTAATGAAATGAACTTGAATTATTTAAAGTATAATGTTTCTAATTAACTTCATAAATAGGATCATGTGGAGTAAAGAGGGTATAAAATCGAACTTTTTTTTAAAAGAAGGCTCTAAACCAAACCATTGAATTTATTTTACTGCAAATTTTGATGCATTTTATATACATTGGATTCATATAGATTAATTATAAGCCATAACTTATCTATTTTGGTTGATTGTTTTCTTACACTAATGCATTTAAAAGAACATGTTTTGATGCACCTATTTTACCCCAGAGTGGGGTATGGGTTTAGTTCTAAAGTTAGTATATATTTCCCTAAACCATATATGCAAATAATGTTTTAGAAATAAAAAATCTCTTAAATAAACGTATCATGATTATATTATATTAAGAAAAAATGCTAAAAAATATTTTTTTAAAATTAAATTAAAGAGTTAATGTTCAAAGCTGTCAAAATTAGGTTTCACTTCAAATGCAGTATATTTTGCTGAACTCTACACAATTTCATTAAAAAGCAAGAAAAGTGTGATAGTTTATGGTTTATTTGAAATATAAATGAGAGAGTAAATATTAATAACTATAGTGGTAATTTAAAGTGTTTTTACTGTCTATACCAGTCATGTATTTTTATTGAATTAATTGAAGGATATTGTTTTGTTTTCCATGAAAAAACTGCCTTATGAAGGCAGATACTTGCGTGAAAACTCATCTATATCTTTAAATATGCCTATTAATTAGCCCCATTATGCTATTTCGGTAATTCTTTTAACTGTATAATTTGTCTGTTGTATTGTTATTCCTTATATCATTCTTCTCTTAAAAAATTAAAATTTAAAAGAAATTTTAATTTCAGCGTTAAAATTACTATTGTAGGTCTATCATAAAACAAGTAAATTATTTTTTAGCTATTTCATTATAAAATGTAGAGCATTAGATACTTATTAAAGTATCTAATGTTCTAAAAATCTAACTAAAGTATCTTACTAAAGAATCTAAAGTACTAAAGTATCTAAAGCTAACACAGAAGTAAAAAAAAGAAATCTAATACAGCACTTAGCTACGCCTGCTATTCCCACTTTTCCCCACCTCAGAAAACAATTCATAATAAATAGAATTTTCAAATTTATTATTAAACTTCTTTGTAGATCGGTTCTTTAGACGTTTCCCTATCAGTTGGAACTAAAATTAATAGTTTTCGGCATTTTTCAATAATATTAGAAAAAAGTTCATCAACAGTTTAAACTAACATACTTTATAAGTTGATCAGAAACATACAATTTGTAAACTTTAAATTTTTTTTTATCGTTTTATAAGACAGAAGTAAAAATGTTCGCTACAATCCCAGTTAATGTTTCCAAAAATATTAAATAAATTATATCAGTTTTAAAGGAGAAAATTTTTTTTTTTCAACACTTATTCCATGTATTTTTAACGCTTACCCATGTTTTTTTTAACACTTATCCCACACTTCATCCCATGTATCAACTTTACTGATATTGCTTTTGGATAAATTTTAATTTATGCATATTACGCCATAATATTTATTTTTATACTTTAACGAAATAATATAAAATGTTAATGTTAAAGAAGGAATTGGGGTGATGTGAAGATATATCCTTAGTAGCTTTTTGGTTTCGTTAAAAATGCTATAAAAGTATCGAGTATGACTGAGTTCGTTCGAATAAGCACTGATTTTCAAAATTATTAAAAAATACACTGTTATATCACCAGAAATGCATTAAAAGCTTGCAGTATATTACCGTTCTTTGAGACCCATCTGCAATAAGTTGTGCAATATCAATCCAATTCTCCTTAGAGCCGCTTAACCCATGAATGAATATGATAGGAGATAAGTTTTTGCCTTTTCCACCGGCCGGCTTGAATACTTTATACGAAAGTTTAATTGGAATAGACCTGAAATAGAAATAAAAAAAGAAAGACAAAAAGGAAAGCGGTTAGATTTTAAAAATTTGCCTCTTTTATCATTGGAATAAAGGGCACGTTTGGGTCATGACAGCAAAAAGATTGGGATGTTGAAGGTATTAAAAATTCCGAAGAAAAGGTATTATTTTTAAAAATTAATAGTCGTTTTCATAGGTGACACCAGGGAACTATTTTTTTTGATGCACTCATACAAATACTTGTTCCTGCCCTATTTGGGTGCGGTTATTTCAAATCTAAAATAAGTTTGCTCCTAAAGCTACAGTTTTTTTAAATGATATTTTAGTCTATTTTTTTGCCATGGCATTTTTCTATATTTTACTACTTAAAATTGCTACATTTAGGAAGGAGTCATATAAATGTTGTGACAAACTTCTAGGGAAGTTAGGGCACATCATCAGGAGGATAAAAATTGCATAGGAACCCATGTCCGGAAAAGTCGTCCTACTCGGCTAGGGACGCAACCCTATTATGAGTTGTTTCATAGTATGCTTCTGAACAGGTCATAACAGGGAAGCGCCCCTAGCCGCTTACGACGGTATTTCCTACGCAATTTTAATCCCGATAATATGTCCTAACTCCCCTAGAAGTTTGTCGCAGTATTTATGTGACACTTGTTATATATAACGTTTTTAAACTTCTACATTTCAACAAAAAATGGACTGAAAATGTCATTTAAAAAATATTGTTTCTTGGAGATCGAAACAAATTACAGATTTGAAATATGCAATACGGAAGTATCTAAGATATGTTAAAAAATCTCATGCAACAGAAAAAAAGATGCTCCTTAGTGTAATTATAAGCTTTTATTTTTCTCAGTAACCGGCTTAAAACTTTTGTAATCAAAAGGGGCAATAAATCTCAAAAATAAATAAATATATAAAGACACAAAAACTTCTCTTTCAAATTTACTTTGATTAACTTTTTATGACGATCTAAGTGTTCAGAATGTGAGTAAACTTCTACTTTTTTAAATCAATATTACATTTTCATTATTAGGAAAATTTCATTTCTTGTAAATATTATTTTGTTATAATATAAGTAAGGTTGTTTTAAAAAGTTAAAATAAAAATTAATTATAAAAATAAAGAACTTATTTGGTCTTGATACTGATATAATCTTTACAAATATAATCAATAACAGAATTGATATTTTCAAATAAAACAAGCTTTAGAACACAAATCATAATAATTTGCTTATCTCTAATGAAAACTAAATGTTAAAATTTTGATTCTGAGAATGCTTATCTCTGGAACAATGAGCGACTCCTGCGTCGCAAGTTCATGATGTCTGTTCTACAATAGTCCGACAAAACTGTTAAAATAAAAAGGAATAAAAATGTATAAATTGAAATTTACACGGCCATGATACTGATATAATCTTCAACAAATATAACTAATGGCAGAATTGATGTTTTCATGATAAACATGTTTTTAAACTGGGGTTCACAAAAAAAGTTTTCTTAAGGAAAAAACCCAATCCATATATTGTTTTATTCATACCTACCTATATATGCAGAATATAAGAACAAGATATAGTATATATTGAAAAAATTATTGCCGAAATGTTACCTAAGGGATTACTAACAAAAAATATTCAAGAAAATAACTACTTTAGTCATTTATGTGCCTCCTAAATGATCATGCATTGATCATGATAACTTATTTTAATTATGTACCTCAGTTTCATTTGTCTTGTTATAACTTTTATATTAAATTTTGTCCTCAAAAATCAGACAACTGAAATAACTTTTACATCATATACTTTTATATGCCTAGTAATCAAGTTAAGTTTATTAAATATTCAGTTGATAATTTTGAAGAACAAATTGAACTGAGAATTAAAATTTTTTTTTATTGTTGTTGTTGTTAATTTACGTCGCACTAGAGCTGCACAATGGGCTATTGGCGACGGTCTGGGAAGCACCCTGGAGGAAAAATTTCTTTTATAGGAAATGCAATTTCAACTCGCAAATCTGAAAAAGTCCACTTGGTGAGTTTATAAATTATGTATAAAATCTTTATAAGATAAAGGTCATTATAAAATGATCAGTTGCTAATTTTAAAGAACTAATCGGTTTGATAATTACAAAAAAATTGTTTGGAAATGCAATTTCAAGTTGCAAAATCTAAAAGAAAAAACTCATTTGGTGAATTTAAGGATCATATATATATAATCAATATAAAATAAGAATCATTAAAAAATGATCAGTTGATAATTACAAGGGCAAACTGATTTAATTATTACAAAGAAAATTGATTGGAAATGCTATTTCACATTGAGAATCTGAAAAAAACCCACTTACTGAGATTAAAGATTATATATAAAATCATTTTAAGTAAGGATCATTATAAAATGACCAGTTGATAATTTCAAACGACAAATTGGTTTGTTAAGAAAATTTATTGGAAATATAATTCCAACTTGTAATATCTGAAAAATTCCACTTCGTTAGTTTAAGGATGGGTTCTGGGATTAGCCAAGTTGGCGACCCTGTTTTGAACACAATTCAAAGCATTTGCTCATCTTCTATGGCAACTGCTTCGATTTAGCGGGTACTAGAATGCTTATCGTGGGACATTCTGCGACTTCAGCATTGCGAGTTCGCACTGTAAAAAATTTTGGAACAAATTACGGTAAAACTTACTAGCCCCCTCAGGGTGCTGGTACTTTTTATCGTTAAATCCATTTTCACCGGAACATATTACAGAACAAAAATATCTGATATACCGGTATTTTTAAAGTAATAATCACAGAAAAATCCCTAAATCACTGTAATTTAATAAATATTATTATAAAAATTACGGCATAATATTTTATGGTAAAAATGGATGCACCCAAAATGCCGGNATAGATAATTTGTCACTTCAACCACACCTTCAAGTATGAATGTGCCCTTATGAAATATTGATGTTAGTTCAGTAGAAGGGAATAAATATATATACTGGGCAATTCCATATGTGACGGAATGACATTTTGACTTGCAAAATAACAATTAATAGAAGTTTCTATGTATCTAATTTCAAATAAAAATTTTTTTTCTCATGCATATCATTATTATTGGCATAATGCGCTTCATAAACTAAAAATACAGGATTTTCTATCTTTCTTACTTTTAATTTTACGAACTTTTTATTTGTGTGACGGAATGACATTTTGGCAACCAAGCTTTTGGCATGCCGCTTAGAACTGGTAGTTTCTGCGAATTTTGCAGCTATTATTTTTCTGAACTATTTTATACTTTTAGTATAATGTGTAAGCAATGTAAAATGTGAATTTGGAAAATTAACCTTAAGTTGGCTAGCAGTTATTAACATCTATTTGCTGTGACGGAATGACCGTGACGGAATGACAAAAAGTTTAGTAGAAGAAAGCCTTCATTTAAAAAATGTTTTATTAATATGTAAATGATAAACAGAATTTAACAGATAAACAGGATTAATATTTATGTAAGAATAAGTAAAAATTTCAACAATTTGAAAATTAGGCTGTCTCTGAAGAGGTTTTATATCTAACTTGCCAATGTCACATTTTATCTTTGTTCACAGGAAATTTATGCATTATTAAGACATGTGACTGAATGACGTAAAAGAAGTTACTTTTATTTTATATATTAAACTTAAAATGTTTACATTTTGTTCTATATGCATATTTTTATCAAAATATTGCAAAAGAAAGATACATTTCTTTTATTTTATAAGTATTTTTTCAAGAAAACAATTTGAGCACAAATGTGAACAATTCACTTGTCAGCCATGTGATTACTTTAGAATGCTGCCAGATTCAAAAAATTTGAAATTATCAAAAATGAAACGGCAATATGTAGACTTTGGCTATTTTTGAACATATTTTTAAAATTAAAATATGCAATTCACAAAAAAAAAATTCACTTAAAAGTTGACACTTCCGTGGAATTGCCCAATTACAAAAAAATTGTTTGGAAATGCAATTTCAAGTTGCAAAATCTGAAAGAAAAAACTCATTTGGTGAATTTAAGGATCATATATATATAATCAATATAAAATAAGAATCATTAAAAAATGATCAGTTGATAATTACAAGGGCAAACTGATTTAATTATTACAAAGAAAATTGATTGGAAATGCTATTTCACATTGAGAATCTGAAAAAAACCCACTTACTGAGATTAAAGATTATATATAAAATCATTTTAAGTAAGGATCATTATAAAATGACCAGTTGATAATTTCAAACGACAAATTGGTTTGTTAAGAAAATTTATTGGAAATATAATTCCAACTTGTAATATCTGAAAAATTCCACTTCGTTAGTTTAAGGATGGGTTCTGGGATTAGCCAAGTTGGCGACCCTGTTTTGAACACAATTCAAAGCATTTGCTCATCTTCTATGGCAACTGCTTCGATTTAGCGGGTACTAGAATGCTTATCGTGGGACATTCTGCGACTTCAGCATTGCGAGTTAGCACTGTAAAAAATTTTGGAACAAATTACGGTAAAACTTACTAGCCCCCTCAGGGTGCTGGTACTTTTTATCGTTAAATCCATTTTCACCGGAACATGTTACAGAACAAAAATATCTGATATACCGGTATTTTTAAAGTAATAATCACAGAAAAATCCCTAAATCACTGTAATTTAATAAATATTATTATAAAAATTACGGCATAATATTTTATGGTAAAAATGGATGCACCCAAAATGCCGGTACTATATACCGTAATTTGATTCTGTATTTTTTTACAGTGCGCACAGTTCTACAAAAATGTTGAAATAAAAATAAATAAAAGCATATTTTTTTAAACTTACTCAGTCATGGCTGTAATTTTCTATTTTCAGGTATTTCTTGTATCTAAGTAAGGAAATTAGAAATATATAAATAATTTCTCGCCTTGACAAAATTTTGAAACATAAAAACTTAACTCTTTTTGTCTGACACGAAAAGCGTTACTCTATTATTTACTTCCTCTTCATCTGATAGTCACTTTGTGCTTCCTTTTAACAACGGTCTGTGTTCACAAAAGCTCAATTGATTACGTAATATACTGCCTGACCATGAGTTTCATTACCGCAGTAGTCCAACGAGTTTTTGTTTGAAAAATTATTTAGGGTTCTCGGCTGTGAGATTAAATAACTATAATTTATTCTTTCCCCCAGGAAATAAAAAGTGTCTACTGTATAGAACGATACGTCATAAATAAGTATAAGCATTAACTAATTTATATGCGCGGCATTTTTTAAACATTTCAATAGACCTATTGTCGTAAACTATTGTTTAAATTCATGTTTGAAAAGAATAGTAAGTGTATGGTTTTTTTAAGGTTTTTTTATTGAAGTCTTTTTGAATTTTTTGACGTTAAAACTTATTTTTCCTTTGACATTAAAACTTATTTTTCGATTTTTTAAAAGTTGAGTTTTTATACCACGTAAAAAAATGGGTTACTTTTCATTTTTTAATTTGAAAGTATGAAAATTTAAAAATACCTACAACATTCTCAATTTTAATAAAACTATGAAAAAAAAAGAAAAGAAATTTCCCCTTCATACACCACTTTTAACGCTGTTTTTCGAAGCTTTGTCACCAAGGAAAATAAAAAAGCCATAGTTTAAGTGACTAACACTTGAAGCAATGCGATGATTTTAAATTATCTATACATACAGTTTAAAACTATATATATATGTAAACTATATATACAAAATATATACATAAACTATATATATAGTGAAAGATTATCTGAGCCTTAGAACAGAACTTACATATTTTTAAAGTTATTAAACCTTTTTAAAACTCACTAATTTGGCGACATTTTTCGATAAAAATTATGAAAATCACTGCCATATTTTCAGTTTTTGCCAATTTTTATGAGCCTAGGTAATGAAGCATCGGTGTAAGTTTTTAAATATTAAAAAATTAGACTACAAACGCTTTTCATTTTCACGAAACTGTGGCTTTTTTTTCTTATTGATTCGTCATTTTCAAAATAAGCTTAGACAGCGCTGGCTTTAGATAAGCTAAACTTGACCTAACTGTCATGAGTAACAGTTACTAACTCACAGCAGTTATAAATATAGCATATTATTCGTAAAAAAGCATCATTTCATATTAGGACGGAGCCTTTGAGAAGTTTAAGACTTCTGTTAATTTAAGAGCAATGACTTTCTACACTTACATTTAATGTTTACATATACGAAAGTTCACAAAAACATACATGTTAAAGACAAAAAATATATTGCTTAAGTTATCCCGCAAAATATAGTAAATAAAGTTAGCAGTAAAATTTCAATATTTGTAGTTGTTGATGTAGTAATCTGTAGTAGTTAGAAGATGTATATAGTAGCTGATATTAGTCGAGTTTAGTAGTTGATATTAGTTGATGATGAGGTAACAAAGGGATAAAAAGATGTACTTATAATGCTGGAATAATTTATAAGTAAAATAAAAGGGTAAATTTCTTTTTAAAGTTATTGTTTTAGAATACTTAGATATTAAGTGAAACTAAAAACCAAACACACCGCGATATATATCTTTCTAATTTATGCCATTACAATAGTTTAACGATGATTAAAATTGTTTCCACAGTTAAGAGCAAAATAAAATGAGTAAAATAAATAAATTTTTACTTTAAAGATGACAATATTATACAGTTCAAAAATTAAAGTATTATATTAGCTTTTTAATTAATGTTTAAGAGAGCAGCCTTTCACTTTTTGACAAAAATTACATAATTCTATTTTTAAAATTAAAATTAATTAAAAATTAAAAAGAACTGATATAAACGTTGAATATAGTAATTAGGAAACGCTCTTCTTTATTAATGAATTTAGTTACTTCATTTTGACTAGAAAAGATAATCAGTGATATAAATCAACCATAAATTGGGCATAGTTAAATCACCTGATGTTGTTTGGTACTTTTGTCGGTAGTATCTCCCTGAATATTGTTTCATTCGGTCGTACTCAGCTTATTTATTATCTGACTCCGTTTAATTTCTATACTTTACAAGATTACAATAATTCTAGTCGAAAATAACTTGACACGATGCATTAACTTTCACCATTTTCATTTAATCAACATTCGAATACAAACATCGTTGCCATTTTCTCTTTTAACAAATATACAATAATTACAGCTTAAAGAACATATAAAATAACTTTGTGACGTCAGACATATATTTACAAAAACTATCACTCTATTTTCCACAACTTTTGAATACAAGTAGCAAAATATATCCCACTTTCATACATTATTTCCAATGATATGCTCTATATGGCCTGCAATGTTTAATTATAAATAATAAAACTAATAACAATAATAATAGAATTACAAATAATAAAATTATTCAATCATTATTGTAATAATAAATGTACCACTTTTATTCACAATCATTTTGGCTTCCCACCAAAAAAAAATATCACAAAAGTTTTTATTACATTAAAAAATTTTAGTGTTTAATTTTTGATAAAAATAGGTTTATAATACTCTAGAATCTATATATATATTTCTCTTACACGGCACCATAAAAAAGCCTCATTACAACTCCCCGAGTGGCAACGTTAGAAAATAGACCAATGATAGCTGCTAAAAATTTCACATGGCATATGTCACATGAGGTGGCTCAACATATAGCGCTTTTAAAAACGGAAACAATAACCAGAGTGAGCATTATCAGGTTGTTCAATTCAGATTCATGCCCTAAGAACATGATAATATTTATTTTAAACTCAGTTAGAAATTAATTAGGCTTGCCTTCTCCATGACTATAAATAAGTCACAAGGTCAGACTTTTGAGAAAATCAGTTTAGTATTGACTAAACAAGTTTTTAGTCATGGACAACTTTATGTTGGCCTGTCAAGAGTTAAGTCATTTGACAGCCTTTCAGTAATTGCTCCAAGATGCCAAATCTATAATTGTGTTTTCAAAGAAATTCTAAATGCTTAGTGTTAATTTCTTAGAGCTTTGCAGAAAAAAATGTTTTTTGGAAAAAATTTAATTGAAACTTCTATTGGCAGTAGGCAAGGGGAACTGCCAAAATCAAAACTCCCCGATTAGAAATGCAGCATGGCGACCTCCACGTGGTATTTCTCGGGTAATGCTAACAGCCATGCATTTTAATTTATTGTATGTAAAACATCCTTATTTTGCTCTAAAATGTTATGTACTTTATCACAAATATTAATTAATATAGAAATTGATTTCAATAATGCTAATCACCAAAAGATATTTCATTTGGCGATAAAAAAAAAATTTTGTGTTTTTGAAAATGAAAGACTTTTTGAGGGTTATTATATCACAAGGAAAAGTTAGGGTTTAAAGTTCATATTTCTAAATAATAAAATTTTTTTCTAAAACTTTCAGAATTTCTAGCATTAACTAATTTATTATGCACATTTAGTTGAATTTAGGTGAGTAACTGCAGTATTTGATAATTTATTTCGCTAATATGCTTCTCATTTAGCTAATGTTTTGATTTTTTCACCATATACAATCTAAATAGCTAATATACTTTTTTAAAAGCCAGTAAGAACATTGAGAGAATTCTTCTACATATGTACAATACTATGTCCTTGAAGATAAAATACTATGTCTTTGATGATAATATATTATGTCTTTGTGCCTGAACATTGTGTTCATTGGCGAGCGAACGCAGCGAGCCATGGTTCACGGCGTGAACCACATAGGATTGCGTAGCATTTCTCGGGGGCTGGCGAGTGTTAGCGAGAAGGGGGCGGAGCCTCCTAGTACTGTTTAATTCAATTAAAAGACGACAAATTAGGTAGGGCAAAGTGCAACAGAAAACGCGAAGTAGAAAAAAGGAAAAAAATTTAATATTCAAAGTGAACCTATTCCGGTTACTATTTTTTCCACTTTTCATTGCTATTTTATTTCTTGAAATAATGTAATTTATGTCAGTGATGTTTTACATTTTAATTGAGAACATAAAACAATTAAAAAAAGATTTATATAGATTACCAATATTGATCATTATGTTCGTAATTGTTGACAAAATTAATAATTCAACACAAGAAGTTTTTTTTAAAAAAATAGTTGAATTAACTTTATCCTAGTTTACATAATTCAAAATTCATATATTTAATCCGTAGAAGAATTTAAATAGTAGCCATATTTGCCAAAGCTCTGGAAGAACACTAAAATCTTTGATTTATATACGTCGTTTTAATTTACTAAACCATAATTTCGCTAGAAATAAAGTTTATATTCAAGGCAAAAATCTACAAGTGGATATGATCATAAAAATCCTCCAATTTTTGAAACGATATACTATAATTAGTTTGAAAAGTAAAGAAAATTTAAGTTTGCCATTTGGTATTGACATTTTCAACTATTAAATAGTAGTTTTTAAAGAAGATATAACAATTACGTTGGCACTTTTGGATTAATAATTACAAAGTTTAGATTTTTAACCCTCTTTTTTTAATATTTTCTGTCCTTATTTTGGGTCGCGTAATTCAACTTTTTAATTAATTTTTCTGTAAGTTTCGTAAGTTCAGTAATCAATCCGAATCCGTTAAACAAAAGAGTAGTTTTGGATTTCGCGGAGCAAGTAAGTTCAGCTAGTTTATTTTTCTCAAAAAATAGCAATTAAGAAGGAATGATAATAATAAAAAAAAATCGTAAAATCGAACAAATTAAAAAAAAAAAACAGTTTAAGATACGTGCAACCAGCGACTTAACATTAGCGAGTTTATTGCCTACATAGGTGAAATGGAAAAGTGCCAACAAAAGGTATGTTTATTCAGAGATGTTACATTTTTGAGTCAAATTTTACAACTTAAAATATCGTCTTCACAAATTTAGGTTTATCATATTTATGTTCAGCCCCCTGCAGAGTATTGTGGTTGAAAAGATTGTTAAATTGCTTATAAAGTCAATAACGTAAGAATTGTGAAAGCCAACAATTTTTGTTAATATTGTCTGTGAAATCAATAAATTCAATTGAAACCAAAAACACTTATAAAATAAGACATAATACTTTATTGAATAATGAAAAATCAAATATAAATTTTAAATATCATCTGAGACATTTTAATTAAAAAATAATTTGTTGAATTCCTGATTGTTAAATTTAGGTTAACGCTTCAATCGCTGGATTACCAGTTCTAAAAATTTTTCTGCAAATGCCAAATGAACATCATGTGCAGCACCTTCCACGGGAATGAGTTCAGCGTTCGGAAAATGTTTTTTTATATGCTCTTCTTCTTTTCCCCTGAAATGAAAATAGTTCTGAATATTTGAAATATCAAAACCGAAAAAGGAAATGGGATCTAAAAGTTTCAGATACAGCCCTTACGCTTTAAGCAGGAATTGCCATAAAAGCATTAGCTTTTCAATTGCTTTGAAATTTTTTTTCACAGATGAAGCCTACTTAGCAAGTTTATTTAAAATACCTATATATTGCGTTCTAATTAAAAAACTGTTAACTTCAAATGGTATTGTCAAGTAAAGGTTTTAAGCGTTTAAAAAAAGTAAGCAATTTATAATTTACGCGAATCCCAATTTTTAGTTGTTTTCAAAGGGGGGTTTGTGTTTGTAGCGTAATGTCAAGTTGCTTACATAATCAGCTGCTTTTCGCAATTTATTGTTTTTGCAGTGATAGATTTTATTTTTGTTACCAACCATATCTATCTATCTATCTATCTATCTATCTATCTATCTATCTATCTATCTATCTATCT